AAAACTTGGAATGAATAGAAACTTTGTACAAACTTGAGTAACACTTGTGACCTGTTGTGCTAAGACCCTCTTTGAAGAAGCCCAGTTCACCCCTGTGCTTTGCATAGGCTTTGTCGGGACCCACGGGACCCACGGTCCCTTATTCTCCCTTCCCCACGGAGACAGAGTCAGCCTCTTCTGAGGTCACCGTCCAGGGCTAATTGTCACCATCTTCTAGATGGACGGCTCCCTGGGATCAGCCAGATGTCTTCCTTTCTAAGGCCAACTCAGATCCCAGGAGAACTGTGTGGCGCTCGAAATCAGCAATCCCCAGGGCTTTTCACACAGCTCTTATCAGTGGTGGTGCCGATAACGCCTTTACAGATGCAGTGGTTTGAATGTGATGCGTCCCCTTCTTGGTCCCTAGCTGGTGGCACTGTGTGGAGAAGTTCTATGGTAGTGGAGACCTCATGGAGGAAGAGGGCCACGAGAGTGGGTTTTGGGAGTTCCATAGCCTGGACCGTCTTCATGTCTAGTTTCTGTCTCTGGGTCGGCTCGAATGTCAGTGAGCAGGCTCATATTGCTGTCACTGAGGCCATAAGCCCTGACCCCATGCTTTCTCCAGCATGATGCACTGACCTCAAACCATGAGTGGAAATAAACTCCCCTTCCGTAAGTTGTTTCTGGTCAGGGGTCTGTGTGCAGCAATGGGAAACGTAACCAGCATGACCTGATTTTATCTGTCAAATCATTACTAGCAATTTATTATTTTCTCTCTCACCCACAAGGCATTTTTTTTCCCTCTCAAATAGAATTGCTTCCAACATAGGGAAGTACACAAGAACCTGAGTTTTGTCACAAACAATCCCCCAACTGGAGGTGGAGCAGGACAATTCCAAAGTGCTGATGTAGTCAGTGAGCTTAAAGGACCAGAAGTGGTCGTGTGCGCAAAGAATCATGGAGCGACCAGCCAGCAAGCAGAGGACTGATCACATGCTGCATACACGTGGCCATAACTATAACCACAACCACGGAAACTTCGAGGAAGAAGGAGGGCTAGGAAAGATGAGGGAGGTGCTGGGAGTCCAGCTCCGAGGTGGAGTGTTTGGTGGGCATGTATGAGGTCTTCACCTCTTGGCACCACAAAAAGAAAAGGGTCACTGAAGCGCAAGTCACTCTTCACTGGCAAATAGATAAATATTGCAAGCCCTACATTAAGAAGGAGCTGATTTTACTGCTCAGCTGTAGTCAGGAAACTTCATTTGCTCAGGAAAGATTGGAGCTTCTCCCTGCAGACAAACAGTGTCCTGTGTAGATAGACAATGAACTAATCCAGAGGAATCTCTCACTTGCCCATGGGCAAGGAAAGTGGGCAAAACACACAGACCCTGCTTCACGCTGTGCAGGTGGGGAGGATTGGAAAAAAGCATTGTGCTGAGGCATCCCTCCTCAGACCCACCTCAGGAACACATGCTTACCATTGCAGACTGTGAGAAGCAGCCCTGGGCTTGGATACCTAGCCAGCCAAGGCTAAAGCAATTAAGCTCATCTTTTTTTGATGTCCTGGGAAAGATCAGATGAATGTGAGCTGCCCTGTGGCTCTGGGGTGCCATTCCCACAGACTACAGGTGTTTTACAGCCTCCTCTCTTTAGTTTGGAACTCAACAAACAAATGAAGATTGGCCTTGTGGATGGATGTCTTAAAACATCTATTCCTGGACTAGAAATCAGGGTAGTTGGTTCTGTGGCATGCACTCTGCTGATGAATCCATTTGCTTAACTCGATTTTAGCACCTTAAAACATTACAGATGCAGCACCCGTTTCTAAAGATTTCTCGTTCCTTATTACTTTCTAAGTCTTTGAATTTGCTTTTAAATCTCTTCACTGTGCCGCTGATGAGTCTCCTTAAAGAACAGTCTCCTTCGGAAAAAAAAAAATCATAATTTCTTTTTCTTCCTGGAAGTGATTGAGGGCCTGAAGGGTACTTGAAATATTGTAAGGATATTAACTGGATAAAATGAGAAAATGGGAACTGAGCTATGAATTTAGAAAGAGAATTTGTGGCATATGGATATATGCCAACTGGAGACTGTAAGGGCGAGTCAAGTATTTGGTGCCATTACCTCTACCCCTCACTTCCCTTTCAGAGAACGCCTCCTTTTGTGAAAGGATGTTGCTCCAAATGCTTATTTATGAGCTGAGTACTGATTCTTTTCAGTTTTTGTTTAGAGCCAAAGCCTACGTGTGTTCACTACTCACTTTCTCTTTCCTCAGAAGCAAGGCCGATGAGGTTGTGGAGGGGAACTAATCCACGGGGCTGGGGTCATCACCAGCTGGTGATGCCGTGCCGAGATTGGTGACATCATCTCTCCATCGTTCATATTCCTTTTTTCCAGGTCGTCCTCAGTGCAACTGTTGGTTTGGTAAATGGAAACTATTCCTTTCAATTGGACAGTTTAGGGAGAGATGAAGACAGATGTGATATGGCAACAGGTTCCAGCCCATTCATGAGAAGGACAGAGGAGAAAGAAAAAGGAGCAGCCACAGCGTTGCCTGGACAATCCAGAGATAGAGGCATTTTCCTGGGATTCTTCCAAGCATAGCAAGCGTCGTCAGCATCATCATTCATGTCCACCCGTGTTCTGAGAAAAGTGTAAGTGGCAGTGAAGGTTTATCTCAGTTGTCAGCTTGAGACTTGGAATCACTTGGGACTCAGGCAGATGGAGGATTATTATGATGAGGTCGGTGGAGGTGGGAAGATCTGTCCACTGTGGGCGGCACCATTCCTTACTTTATTAGGTCCCGGACTGTATAAAATGAGAAAGAGCTGATAGCAAGCGTTCACTCTCTGTGTCATGACTATTTATCAGTGAAACCCACAGCTTTAAGCTCCTGTGGATGTGGCTTTACCCCCTGATAGATGGCAACCTGAGCTAAGACAAAACCAACGCTTTCTCTCCTATGTGGCTTTTGTCAGGATATGTCATCACAGCCACAGGAAGAGGCACTGAGATGTGCGATGCTGGGGTTGAAGTTACTGTGTCGTGGACTTTGGTGTTTCAAATTGATTTTTGTGAATATAATGACAAAGTCCACGATCTCAGTTACTTACCTATTGTCCTACTTACAGGAATGAAGATGAGAACTGAGAAGACACAGGAGAGAAAGCCGAGATAGTTTACGATGGCTCTGCTCTTTTTTTTTTTTTCTTAAAAATTGCAACTCCAGGATTTCTATGATAACTTCTTGGCACTTTTATTTATTTATTTTTTTGTAAAAAGACAGATATGCTCACTTACTTTTGTGTGGAACATCACTTTCCATTAAAGATGAGGGAAGAGGACTGTGAGTAATCAACTATCAAGTCACCTTTCACATAGTTTTTAAAAGTCTCCATTTTTTTTGTGTGTGTGTTAATCACACAAAAACTTTCACTCATAATCAGGGCAGCATAATAATGATTACACTGAATTAGAAAAATAAGCTTTCCTCCCAGGCCCATGCAGGAATTGGAAGGGTGCCCGTCCTCATCTCTCAGAAAATATGTTACTTAAGAAATTGACTCATAAGCCGGGCGTTGGTGGCGCACGCCTTTAATCCCAGCACTCGGGAGGCAGAGCCAGGTGGATCTCTGTGAGTTCGAGGCCAGCCTGGGCTACCAAGTGAGCTCCAGGAAAGGCGCAAAGCTACACAGAGAAACCTTGTCTCGAAAAACCAAAAAAAAAAAAAAAAAAAAAAGAAATTGACTCATCCCATCCCTCATCTGGGAAAGTTGTCTGAATACCCACAATGTCCCCTGGTCATACTGAGGCTTCCTTAATTCTTCTACGTGAATTGTCTTCCAAAATTTTCATGGTGTATATTCTATATTCATGGCACACAGCACGGTGTTACATACGTGATGACACTTTCACACATGTCGATGTTTTACGTGGAGCCTATCTTCCACAGCCACCCCATAGCCCTCTACCCTCCCTTTCTCACCCCTTCCCTGCTGCTCATATTTCTTCCCTATAGATGGTTTTGCTTCTACTTTCAAGTCATACATACATATATACATACAAACATACATGCATACATGCCCCGCCTGCAGGGCTACAACGGGTTCTCGACCACCCTAAGGAGGGAATGTAGGGACAGGAGATACAAAGGAAAAGACACCAAGTCTAGATTCTGATCAAGGTGCAACTTTATTTTTCTCCAGGAGGGTTTATATAGTTCCTGCAGGGTGGGGGGAGCAAGAAGCCATCATCTGCATAAGGTGGGGCAAGCCAACAGGATGTTTGTATAGGATGTTTACAGGGTGAGAGGGTCAAGGGCTCTGACTCAATGTCCTGTTGCTAGGCAACCTGACTGTAAGATGATCTAGTTCCCTGTCTTATTGGGGGTCTGTATTTCTCCACTAACTAGAGATTCTGTCCTTGTCCCTGACACATACATACATACAAACATACATACAAACATACATACGCACATGCATAGATACATACAAACATACATACATGCATAGATACATATAAACATACATACATGCATAGATACATACAAACATACATACATACATACGTACATACATACAGTTTCCACACCGTTTGGTCTTTCCTGCTGATTGGTTACTGGGGCTGAATCAAAGAAGAATGGACTTGCTTGTGAGTGAAGCAGACCCTCAGTTCAGGACAGCGGACTGCTGAGCCCAGCACTCTTCATCAAGCTGATAAGCACTTCATGTTGGCCTATGGAAAGTACCGTCCGTCCTTCACACCCCCATCTGAACAACTTCCTTTTTCCACGGGAGTTTCACCTCTCTGTGTGCTGCTCTCAGGCTTCTCATCCTCTGAGGGCGTCAATCTGGGGAGGGGAGACTTTCCCACAGAAACAATCACTTCCCCAATTTTCTTTTGAAGACAGTTTCCAAGCAATCCCATGGCTCTGTGAGAACAGGGTCATTCACTTTGTCCTGGGGGTCACCCACACCCTTGATTTCAGGGAACAGGAGAGAAACAACAAAGCTATTCATGAGAGATGGAGTCCTGACGTGAGGAGAGGCCTGTCAAGAAGTGCACTGAGGGACTCTCCAGACACGCTGGCTCCTCATAGGAGGCTCTGCTTGAAGGGGAAGTGGGAAAGACAGTACAGAAAACTGGACACAAAATAAAGGAATGCCTGATCTCAGTTTGTATTTGGAGAAGTCTTGTAAATGTAGATTAAGGAGTATTTTAAAAGTCCAAATAGGCCAAGTCAGGGTATGAGTGGATCCGGAGAAAAACCTGGAGGAATACCATGAACAAAGCCACCACACAGCAGTGTCTGTGACCTGTTACTATGGCAAAGTTCCTTCCTTTGCATGAACATAGCCTAGGAGTACAACTTCTGAATGGGCACAGCTGTGATCTATCTGTAGATGTTGGGGAAGTCCACACACAGAGCAAACCTTCCTACGGCATCTGCAGAGGACCAGGGAGTGAGGGATTTCTTTTGACTCCATCTTCAAGTTACTGGGGATCCCAGCTCACTGCCTTCTTGACGCCTGTCCTTTCTCATGATTCCTCTGGCTGCCACACACTGGGTAGGACAGACTTCTGCACATAGACCAAGTTCCCTGTTCTCCACCCTTGACCTTGTCTTTTCCTCTTTCTGATGGTTCACTCTGTGTGTGTGTGTGAACTTGGCTGATCCATAGTTCCTGTGTACTTAGTCAGACATTATTCTAGATGTCTCCATGGGAGTGCTTTTGAAAGAGACTAACATATAAATATAACAGGAAAGCCTGTTGCTTTCTAGAATGTAGGTGGGCCTTATCCAAGGCAAAGGTGTAAAGGGCACAAAGCTGACTTCTCCCAAGCAGGATATGGTTAGTTCTCCAGCTTGATGGCCTTCATACTTGAACTATGACATTGGTTCTGTCCTCCATGCTCAACGTGAAGACCTCGCTACCTCTCCCATACC